AGAGGGAGGTGAGGGGTGAAGGAGAGGAGGGAGGAGGTGGTGAAGGAGGAGGAGGAGGTATGAAGGAGGAGGAGGGTGGTGAGGAGGAGGAGGAGGTAGTGAAGGAGGAGGAGGTGGTGGTGAAGGAGGAGGTGAGTGAAGGAGGGAGGAGGTGGTGGTGAAGGAGGAGGTGGTGAGAGGAGGAGGGAGGTGGTGGGGGAGGAGGAGGTGGTGAAGGAGGAGGTGTAGGAGCATCACAAGAATATATACACGAGGAGCAGGAGGAAGAGGGTAAGAGACTTACTCGAAGAGGAGGAGAGAGGGGAGGAGGAGGTGGAGGAGGAGGAAAGGAGGAGAGGAGGTGGGGGGTCCAGGCTGCCAGGTGTGACAATGACCAAGGCTCTCTTACGGTGGAGGGGCGGGGAGGTGGATGACAAAGCAATTATTACTGTTGCTGTTACCATTTTTACTGTTGTATCTGTTTAAATGAGTATACTGTTATAAGCTGGGATACATCTGTTACTACTGTTGCGTCATCATCATTATTCATCATTCCAATTATTTTTATTTATTTATTTATTTATTATTATTATTATTATTATTATTATTATTATTATTATTATTATTATTATTATTATTATTATTATTATATTAATATTAATATTATTATTAATATTATTATTATTATTATTATTATTATTATTATTATTATTATTATTATTATTATTATTATTATTATTATTATTATTATTATTATTATTATTATTATTATTATTATTATTATTATTATTATTTTATTTATTTTTATTTATTTATTTATTTACTTATTATTATTTTCTTTCTTATATTAACAAAGCGTGATAATGTCCAGGTAAAGTATTACCAATCAAAAACAACCTCTATCATCCCACTAAATAAAGGCCATAATCCTCTTTACCCCACCACCCTTTCTCTCCCAAGACCAGGTGTGACATTCTTACCTGTAAACATTGGTATTTTGTTAATTAATATCAGATAAAAAATAATATATATCCTCCAAGACTTACAAGGAGCTGTGAGGGATTTTATTTTTGTGTTTTGTGATTTTATTGAAACAAATGTCAGGTGAATTTCCAAAGATGTGTTTTAGGAAAGGTCGTTTTAAAGGTTTCTGTGAGAGATATTATTTGAGTGCGAAAGGAACTTGTGTTTTATTGTTGAATGATTTATTTATTTATGAATTATTATATAAAAAATTTTACGTTAAGAATTTATTTTTTACTTTATGTTTATATAATTGACTTAATTAAATAGTTCATTATTCTCTGTAAATAAAAAAAATCACTAAGAAATGTGATTTTTTTTAACAATAACAAATAAATCTTTAACGTTTATCTTTATTACGATTAAATTAGTCACGGAAATAAAAAATAAATCATTCATATTATAATTTTTTTTTAAAGAATTGACAAACAAAATATATACATCAGTCGCCCAGATTTTGTGCCACGTTGTTTTGTCAGATGATTACCACCATTATCTACCACACCAGCGGCAACAACTATTACCACCCTCGTGTAGGATTGAGGTAGGGGGGGGGTAAGTAGTAGGAGGGAGGGGGGGGAGGGAGGGGGAGTAAAAATCAGGGAAAAATACCCCAGGGCAAATATTATTATAGGAAGAGGCAGCACCAGCGGACGTGGGTGGGGGGAAAACAGGTTGGGTGGCCATTTGGTTGATATCAAAATCTAGGGTAGCAAGTCTTAACGATACCCTCCTCAACCACAATCACTCCACCACTCCACCACTACTCCACTTGGGTCTGTTGAATGAGCGATATCTATCAATATTTACATGTGTGAATCTTCCTCAGTGAAGGTATTAGTCTTGGTTAAGGCGGAGATCTCGAGTTTTGTTTGGCTAATCGGGGTTCGAGGGACGGGCCTGATCCTTTATGTAAACTGTTTAAAATTGCAAATTTGACCCGCGTTTATGTGTTTGGAATCCATTAGTTTTGGAAAATGTTGTGTGGGCTTGGGTTAAGAGGAGGCGGTGGTGGGCACATCTGTCGCGGCCGTCCCCACTCCCTCCTCCTCTTCCTCCTCCCACCTCCTCTTCCTCCTCCTCCCCCTCCTCCTCCCTCCTCCTCCTTCTTCACCAGACGCCCAATTTAATCCGCGATGAAAAATAGATGTTAATTCACCTTCTCCTCCGCCCTCCTTCCCCTCTTCCACCCTCTTCCACCCTCCTCCTACTCTTCCTCCTCCTCCTCCTCCTACTTGAAGGGGGGATGGTGAGGGGGAGGCCAGATCTAGGATACTTATTCCTCAGATGGCTGGGAGGACAAAATTTTCCGCTGGGGAGAAACTCTTTAGAATATAGGGGGGAGGGGAGAATGGGGGGTGAGGGGGAGGGGAGAATGGGGGGTGAGGGGGAGGGGAGAATGGAGGGTGAGGGGGAGGAGGCAGTGATAGACAGACAGACAGACAGACAGATAAATCGTGAAAGGAACAATAACGGAAAAGGAAATAGAGAAAGAGACAGAGAAAACAATAAAGAAAATTTTGGAAAAAATACGAGAGAGAGAGAGAGAGAGAGAGAGAGAGAGAGAGAGAGAGAGAGAGAGAGATAATAATAATAATAATGACTCCATCAGCACTAGTTATTTACAGTAAAAAGCCGCCATCTTATAGAGTGTTACCAACTTGGCCATTGTTATCCCCCCAAATTATCTTCAATAACACCACATAATAACTATCTTTCCCTCTGATAAATACACAGTACGGACATAAAACTGTGAATTTTCCCACCACTATCAAGGACCTACAGTGTTATTCTCAGACCACAATAATTACGTGAATAAACTTTTATTATACAAAGTGTCTCAAAATAATGTATGCACAGTGCCTCACGGGTTACGGTAGAGATCGCGTGAATCACTATGGTAATTTGTATGGCTGTGTGTATACATTTTTTTGAGACACTTTGTATATTTTGTTTGTGTGATGGAAGTCGAGTGTTTAGGTAAAATAAATTTGAGAGATTAGAAGATTTTCACCAATGTCGTTTTTTAGTGTTTTTGAAGTTGTGTAGAGAGTTGTCTTTGGTGGCCCTGAAGCAAAGGACTCATTAAATATATTCCCTCACAAGACCAAATAATTTAACAACTTACTCGATAATTACCATAATAACAAAATATAAATTTGACACACTAATTCTTAAACTTTCATTCAGTAATAATTCAATTTACATTATATAATTGAGACGATAAATTAAGAAAAAAAAAGTTGTTTCTGAATTATTATACAAGATACAGGTACTCTAATTTTCACAACATGATCATGAGTTATAATTCTGAAGATGATTAATGTTGTTCTGGGTCCTTGGAGCTATTAAGTGTGTATGAGCGAGCTGTGAAATATTTTAATTATGATAAATGAAACAATGGAGTGTTCTTTCTTTAACCTAACCTAACCTTACCTTACCTAACCTAACCTAACCTAACCTAACCTAACCTAACCTAACCTTACCTTACCTTACCTTACCTTACCTTACCTTACCTTACCTTACCTTACCTTACCTTACCTTACCTTACCCAACCCAACCTAACCTAACCTAACCTAACCTAACCTAACCTAACCTAACCTAACCTAACCTAACCTAACCCCCAATTTTACCTTTACCCACCTTACCTTTACCTTACCTTTTACCTTTTTTATTTTTTTTCACCCATTTACCTACTTCTAACCTAATTCAACCCTAATCCTATTTAATTCTTTTCCTTTATCTTTACTTTACCTTACTTTATTTACTTACCTTTACTATCTTTTACCTTACCATTTTATTTACTTTTATTTTTTATTTTACTTCCACCACCTACTACTCTTACCTTATTTCTTTCACTCTCTACCACCTCTTCACCCCCTCCTCCCCTTTCCTAAGAATAATATTACTCTCAAACTATAAATGGACTAAGAGAGAATGACTCATATCAATGCAGGGCGGTCGGGGGGGGGGTGGGGGTGGTGGGGGGGTGGCAGTAGGTACAGAGGTTAGAAATATGAGCGTCGTTAGAATGTGTGTCATTTAAGGTCGTTAAAAAGAAGCAGGTGGCTGACAGGAAGGGCTTCACTGTTGTACCATTTGTTTGGTCTTGCTTGACTCCGCCTTTATACTGTGTTTTCCCGAACCCGAGTCATTAAACATTATAAAATGATTCGGGTTTTTTTTTAACTTTTATTTTGTTTTTACTTTTTTTTTTATTTAACTACGAAAGGGTTGAGGTAGGGGTGGGGGGTAGGAGGTGGAGGTAAGGGAGGGGGTATGTGAGGGGGGTGAGGAGGAGGAGGGGGGTTATTATAATACCTTGTTAGTCATTATATAATAAAGTAGTTACCGAGTTTGTGGCACTGTTAACATCTAATTATAATTTGTGTATGTAATTTGGTGGTTATCTGGAGGATAGGGGGGGGGGCGGGGTGAGGGTAGGAGGGGGGAGGGGTGAGGCAGGGGGCGGAGCATGAAGTCATTATCCACGCTCTCTCGTATATAAAATTCAATGTGCTCTCTTAAATCAGGGAGTCGCTTGTGTGTTTGTAAATTCATAAAGAGGAGTTTCATTGTCTGTTTATTTGTGTGTTGTAACAAAGACACGTAACAAGGACAATTGTCTGTTAGTGGCGTATGTGCTAATTGGTGTACTAGGTCGTTAGTTGATTGTGTTAATTAACTAGCTGTAAGTATTGGCATTTTTTTTTTTTTAGTGATTGTGGTTCATGGTAGTTAGTTTATCATTAGTTAATGGTTGTTAGAGGTAGTTAGTTTCTTAGCGGTGGTTAAGTCTAGTTAGTCTTTTACTTTAATGGTAGATAATGTGAAGTTAATTGTGCGGTGGTGAAGTGGGTACACCGCTCGCCTCCTGGCCAAAGAGTCGCTAGTTCGATACCAGATGAGAGTGTTGGCGGTCGTATGCAGTACTGGACATGTTGCCTCCATGTTTATTATTTTCGGCTTTTGAGTACGATGTCAGCCTTCTGAGTACAATGATTGAGTACGATGTTAGCCTTCTGAGTACAATGATTGAGTACGATGTCAGCCTTCTGAGTACAATGATTGAGTACGATGTCAGCCTTCTGAGTACAATGATTGAGTACGATGTTAGCCTTCTGAGTACATGGTCAGCTTTCAGAGTACAATAATTTAGCCTTGAGAGTACGATGCCTTCAACTTGAGTACGATGCAAGCCTCCTAAATACAAAGGTTTAGCCCAGTGAGTACGATGCCTTAACCCCTTGAGTACAGTGTCTTAACCCCTCGAGTACGGTCTTAACCCTTTGAATACATTAACCTGTTCCCCCAAAGTGTAGTGAAATTGTACTCAAGGAGATTGAACTATCGTACTCATGGAATTAAGTCACTGTACTCAACATCACGAATAGAAGGTAATATTTATGTGTTAATTAACATTTTTTTAACATTTTAGGGAAATAATAAAGGATAATTCGTGTAATAAATTATACAAAAGTTAAATGCCTAGAATAAATGTCTGTCTGTCTGCCTCTTCCTTTCTTTCTTTCTCTCTCTTTGTCTCTCTTTCTCTGTCTTTCTCTCTTTTTCTCTCTCTGTCTCTCTCTTTCTCTGTCTTTCTCTCTTTTTCTCTTTCTCTTTCTGTCTCTCTTTCTCTGTCTTTCTCTCTTTTTCTCTTTCTCTTTCTGTCTCTTTCTCTGTCTTTCTCTCTTTTTCTCTCTCTCTTTCTGTCTCTCTCTTTCTCTGTCTTTCTCTCTTTTTCTCTTTCTCTTTCTTTGAGTATTTATCTTTGTTATTCTCTGTCTGTCTATTTCTAGTGTTTTCTCTGTGTTTGTATGTCTGTGTCTGTCTGTCTGTGTCTGTCTGTCTTTATGTCTTTTCTCTGTGTTTGTATGTCTGTGTCTGTCTGTCTTGTTTTGTAAAGACACAGACACTCTGCTTAAATAAAATAAGGTGATTTAGCACTAATTAAGATATCAAATTATACTGAGAGACTATCGTAACATAGCACCAGTTAGGAGACAGACAGACAGACAGACAGACAGCCACAGACAGACACAGACAGGGAAAAGTAAGACAGACAGCCACAGACAGACAGCCACAGACAGACAGACACAGACAGACAGATACAGACCCCAATAAAAGTTAATGCTGCAGTGTTCCCTAACATCAGAATAAAGAAAATGGGATAAAGGACCGATAGAAAACGAGAATCAAACAATTATGAATAACTTGGGATGGGTTTTGCAAGTACGGGGGGTTCGATACCACCAGCTGAGCCTCGAAGTTTTATTCTCAAGTATTACCAGTTGGTTATTGTACGTGTTATGTAAATGTGTTTTTATGGTGATTATTATAAGTAGCATGTTAAGGGGGGGGGGTGGTGATGGTGAGGTGGTGACGTGGTGATGGTGAGGTGGTGACGTGGTGGTGGTGATTGTAGTGGTTGTGGTGATATGGTAGAAGTAGTAGTATTAGTGAAAGTGGGTATGGTGATAGTTGTAGTGGTGGTAGTAGTAATGGTAGTATAGTGGTAGTGGTAGTATTAGTAATGATGGTAGTAGTAGTAGTAGTAGTAGTAATAATGGTGGTGGTAGTAATAGTGGTAGCGGTGATAGTAAAAGTAGTAGGTCGGGGTGACAACTGCTTCCCACACGGTACATTGTGTTCATCTTTTATGACTGTTTTTTGTGCTATTTTATTTCTTCCTTCCTGTCTGTCTGTCTGTCTGTCTGTCTGTCTGTCTGTCTGTCTTCATTCTTTTATCTTTTCGCCGTTTATTATTTTTGCTTTTTTACTTTGTTTTTGCTTTACTTTTTAGTGTTTTCGCTTTTTTTTTAATTTCTTTCTTTTCGTTTTGTTGATTTTTTTTTTATCTGTGTTGAGGAGGACAGTGACTATGATAGGACAGTGACTATGACAATGACAATGATAACGAAGACAGTGACTATGATAACCAGGACAGTGACAATGATAACCAGGACAGTGACAATGATAACCAGGACAGTGACAATGAAAACCAGGACAGTGACAATGATAACCAGGACAGTGACAATGATAACCAGGACAGTAACAATGATAACCAGGACAGTGACAATGATAACCAGGACAGTGACGATGATAACGAATACAAAAGACAGTAACGTGGACAATAGCTAGAGGGAGCAGTAGGCTATACAAGGAGAGTGACGCCAGGAAAGTAGAAAACCGGTTTGTGGGTGACGTTGTTACTTTCTGCTACCGCCGCCGGGAAGTAGGTATTTCCTCACTATCTCACCAAAATAATCACTTCCTCCCTCATCTGCCTCACCTCTTACACGCTGTAGCCCACATGACAAAATTTATATATATATACATTATTGGATCTTAAGGAATTTGCATTTTTGTGGTTTTATTAACGTATATAGGAGTTGTTTTTTTAGAATAATCTGTTGATAAATATATTGTTAAGTTATATGGAATTATTATAAGTATTTAGATAATTTAGTTGAAATTTGATCAATAACAACAAATAGATATTCTGGGTTTTTTTTAGTTAATTTACCTACCTAGTAATATGAGAGAGAGAGAGAGAGAGAGAATAAGTGATTCATGTTTACATCTTTCATCCCATTCATATATATATATATAAATCTAATCTTCTCCATATAACACTGTAACGTTATTCACTGTTCACTATAACCATTGGTGATTTGAGTTGTTTTATCTGGAGCTGAATCAAACACACTTGGTATATCAGTTTTCTCGTGATTTGGGTGATTTTAACACCTTTGATTGCAAGCTGTTGTAAGAGCAGTCAATATATATTTTTACTTTTACCCTTTGTTCCTTCCTCTTCTTTCTTCCTCTTCCCATCCCCTCTTCCTCCATCTCCTCCCTACCCCTCCTTCCTTTCTCCCTCCCCCTTTTTCCTTTCCCTTTCCCCCCTCCCCCCTCTCTAACCCCCTCTCATTTCCATTTCTCCTTCACGTTCCTCTCTTCCCTCTCTCATTTTCCTTTCTCCTCCCCCCTTCTCTTCCCTCTCTCCACCCACTTCCACACTCCCACCCCTTCACTCCCACCCCTTCCCTCCCTTCTCTCCCCCTCCCTCCTCCCCTTAGTGTTAGTATACATGGAATCTCATCATCACTACTTCCTCTCGGGTCGGATGATCACCTGAACCTTGGCTACAATTACCGGTAGAGCCCACAAGGTCCAGGTACTCGATGCCTTGTAGTACTAGGTCACGCGGAGGATTGAGGCCGTTGACGCCATAAAACATCACCATTGCACATGTAAAAGATGGATGGAAGTGCCTGGTGATGTTGAGTTCTTGTACTGGAGATGTTGAGTTCTTATACTGGCGATGTTGACTGGACTTCACTTAATTAACCAAGAAAGTGTAGGACCCTACAGGCGACCTCTAAACTAGGAATCAGTACAATGAACTTAACACCAACACGAGAACTTCAAGTACCTGGCATTTTTCTCCAAGACACACTAAACGAACATCCTCCCGATTTCTGACAGCACCGGCAGAACGAAGAAATACTGTCTCCATCAACCCACCCCTCCACCCCCATCCCCAAAGGCACCGAATCTGCTTGGGTAATGTCTTGAGGAAGGATGAAGAGTTAATAAGCTTTACCTAGACTGACAAGAGGTGTGTTGGCTGGTCCGTCCACGCCACAGTTCACTCCGCTCACCGCTTGTTGACTAAAGAGATTGCCATTTGGTGCGTTTTATTAGCGTGTGTTTATTACCCGACCATCTGCCATACCTTCCTCGTCCACACACACCTCCCTCCCTCCCTTCTTCCCTCCTCTCTCCGTCCCTCTCCTCCCTTCTCCCTCCTTTCTTCCCTCTCTCCCTCTCCCCCCTTCTCTCCTTTCTTACCCTCCCTCCATACACTCTCTACCCACCCACTCCCACTTGGCCCATCACCATTGTTTCATCTTTCCCCCCCTCTCCACCTCCCCTCCCTCCTCCTCCCTCCCCCCCCTTTCCTCCCACCTATCTCCCCCTCCCTACCCCCACTCCACACCGACAACAACACCTGTTTTAGTGGCCAAGAGAGGGTTATTCCAATCCCACATAATGGGTTAATAAAAAAAAGAAGAAAAAGAAGCAACTTGAAATTAGTATCATATCACAGGAAATTGAAGCCACCTCAATTTCCACCCAAATATAAGAAGTGTTTACGAATTGGTTTGTGTTGAGTCTTGTGATAATTAATCGACCTTGGCTCCGTGTAAATCTTCCCATCAAATGTTAACTTAAAGGACCCCCCATTAGTATCCCTTAGAGGTTCAGGTTCGATTTCACGGTGGGTTTAAAAATAATGATTCGTGTCGTTGTGGTTACCTGGTGGGGATGAGGTGTGGGTTCTTGAATTGGTATCTCTGTCTCTTTCTCGTGTCTGTCTGTCTGTCTCTATCTCTCTTCCGCGTGTCAATATCTCATTCCCTCTCTCGAGATGACACACACACTCTTATACCTCACAGGTGACACACAGCTTTATGACTCGGCCTTCACCACCCTAAACTCCCCCTCATTCACTTCCTGGTCAACCTGGTCTTTCCTCCTGTGATAAAAACTTTCAAAAATATTACTTTCTACATAATAATATTCAATCTTTAACTGGTAGAAATTACTTTGACAAATATAATAGTTTCTTATGATTGTTGGTGGTATATATTGGGGTGTAGTAATTTGCTGTGTATAAGGTGTCTTTGGCAAGTTCCTGATTGGACGAAATAAATTGGGAAGCGTCGTAATGGTGTTGGAATTATTGTAGTTTTTTTGTTAATTTTTTTTTTATTCCCCGCATTTGAGGAACTTGTTAGCACACGTAGATGGTTTGTGTCGAGGCCTGATGTGTCAACTGACTTAATGGTGTAAAATAGTGCGAATTAATTAGTGGTGTTGGGCGGTCTTTTTATCTACCTGAGGTTACCTGTTGGAGGAGGGGGGGGGTCCGTAAAACACCATCTTTGTGACGGTTTTTTATATATTTTATTTGTCTTATGGGGAAAGAGAAGAGGTTTTGGCTTTTTTTTTAAGAGATTTTTATATACTTTTTTCTGTGTGTGTGTGTGTGTGTGTGTGTGTGTGTGTGTGTGTGTGTGTGTGTGTGTGTGTGACAGTGTTCAGTAAAGCTGTTGGTTATGACAGTACGGGGCTCTGAACTCTTACCCTCAGTGGTGGACAATTTCAATCTCACAAGAAGAGCTTCACCGAGTGCTGTAATTTACCCACGTAACTCATAGTTTATAGAGCAATTAACGTCATAGTCGGCCTCAGCTAGTAGCCGACCCCACCCCGACCACCTACCACCTCCCTGACCACCCACCACCTCCCCTGACCACCTACCACCTCCTGACCACTACCACCTCCTGACCACTACCACCTCCCCTGACCACTACCACCTGACCACTCTCCTGACCACTACCACCTCTACCACCTCCTGACCACTACCTCCCCCTGACCACTACCACCTCCCCGACCACTACCACCTCCCCACCCACCACCTCCCTGACCACTACCACCTACACCACCTCTGACCACCTCCTGACCACCACCACCTCCCTGACCACTCACCACCACTCACCTCCCCGACCACTACCACCCCCTGACCACTACCACCTCCCCGACCACCATCCCCTGACCACTATCCCCTGACCAACATCTATCACCCCTGACCAGCCACTGCCACCACTCCACCCCCACACCCCCCACACACCCCCCCACACCTCACTTTAACACTACAGTATATTCCTAGACACACTCAGGGAACGTCTACGTGAAACAGTAGACCCAGGTGTTCCTCTCTGCTATTAGGGGTGACAGCCGCCTTACCTGTCCTTACCTGACGTCTTACAGCGTCCTGAGAGAGAGAGAGAGAGAGAGAGAGAGAGAGAGAGAGAGAGAGAGAGGAAACTGGAAAAAAATTATCTTACTAAAGGAACCAATTAAAAAAAAACGGTTCAAAACAAAAGAATAAATTTACCCTATTTTATTTATTTCCTCTTGATATATTTCTTGTTCGGTTTTTAATAGAGAAAAATATTACTTGATTTACTTTTTTTGTATATATTATTTAATTTTCTTTTCTTGTTTTTACTGGGATTTGCATTTTATTCATTTATTTAATATTTTTGCAGTTATTTATTTTATTTCATCCTGGTTGTAGTGGTAGTAGTGGTGGTGGTTGAACGACTATTAACCACAATTTAGTGTCAGCCATAAGTTGGTGGTGATTGATGATGCTGGTGGTAGTGCTGTGGTGGTAGTTATGGTAACGGTGGTAATGAGGTGGTGGTATATAGTGGTGGTAATGGTGGTGGTTATGGTGATGTGTTAGTTATGGTGGAATGGTGGTAGTTGCTAGTGGATTTTTTTTGTAGTAGTAGTAGTAGTGGTGGTGGTGGTAATGGTATGGGGTGGTTGTATGGTAATGGTAGTTATGGTAATGTATGATGTATGTGTGTATGGCGCTGGTGGTGATAATAGTAATACTTGTGATACTAGTATTGATGCTAGTAGTTGTGGTAGTGATGATAGTTATACATTTCAGATAATAGTTGTTGATGGAACCAATAAGTTTTTGTTCCATTATTACTTGTTGCTGTTGTTCTTCTTGATGTTGTTGTTAGTGTTGTTTTTGTTGTCATTGTTTTAAGAATCACAGCTCATGACTAAGAGAGAGAGAGAGAGAGAGAGAGAGAGAGAGAGAGAGAGAGAGTTATCAGTTCGTCTCCCACCATAATCACTACTGCTACTACTATATTATCTCTACCAATTATCACAGCCCGTTCCGCCACCATCACCACCACAGTATTTCCACCACTACAGTCACTCCCCACGACAATCACAACTACCACCACAATCATCGTTACCAGCCTCGCACCAACACCAAAAACTTAGCAACCATCACCACCACAACCACCACCAACACCACCCCTATCCCTCACCACCATCAAACCACACCACCAACTTACCAACCACCATTCCTCCACCCCTCCCCCACCAGTATCACAATTACCACCAACACCTCCCGCCACCAACACTCCCCACCAACACTCCAACACCTCCAACACTCTCCAACACCCCTCCAACACCCCCCACCAACA